TTTTCTTCTTCCCCAATTAGACAGTATAGGGAAGCTTACTCACACTGTGCCATTTTCTTTTCTTGAAATCCAAATGGAATCTGAAGTTGGGTTATTCTGAGGGAGGAGAGTTAGCGTTTCCATGGTTTTCTATGGAGTCAGAATCACCCAGTGTGGAGACTAGTTAACAGGTTAGGAAACAGAGACTCTGAAGGTATGAATTGAAGTGGTAATAAAAGCACATTACCGAATGGCAATGTAAGTACTGGAATTCAAGCCTTCCAACTCCTGGTTAGCCACTCTTTTTATTGCGTTATGATGAATAAAGTACCAGTTAGAATAATTGTTGGGGAAATGCTGTCAGAATAGGATTGCAAGTTTTCATGTCACATTACAGACCTGGGCAGGAGCAGGAGATGAAGACCTCTTACTATCATGCCATCAGTTTGAGTGATTGAGCCCTACCTCACTCAGCAATCTTTCTAACTAGCATCGGGTATTACCCACAGTATTTTGATTAATAAGAAGTAATAAGTAGATCACATTTGCATCTGTTTTCTTTAAAGCGAAAGTCCTTATATTTTGGAAAAAATCCTTTACAGTGCCAAAATACATTTTTTCCTATTTTATATCATGTTTTCTAAATGCATCAGCAGGGAATATAATTGAAAAATGACAACCAGAGAGTGAAGAGTTACTAAGGAAGACTGAATTTTAATTCCATGTTTTATAATCTACCCTGGATCTCACCTTCCCACCTTAACTTTTTACCAGAAATTTACAGATTTTATCTCCTTTGTGTAATTGTTAAGTGCTCCCCAATTTACATACACATCCTGCCCCCTGTCATTCTCAAGTATTAAATATGAGTGAGGGAATGAGTAAATTAGTGGACTATAACTATCTACTAAAGTCTTCCTATAATTAATGAAGTTTTCTAAACAGAGTAGGTATAAAAATGGAAATATTCTTAAACAGGAGAAGATTGCCTAAATGTTCGCAATTCCTTCATGAAAATCAATCACCTATAACTTGTAACAATTTTTATTAATAGGAAACCTGGCATAATGAAATTACAAGTTAAGGATAGTCATTATTTTTGAGTCAAAATGGAAGGCAGACTAACATTTCTAAAGACCTCTTGGGAATATACTTCCATTCCCATTAAAAACTGATGGTTTTGTTAATTTTCCTAAAAATCATATGCAGTGTTTTTTCTTTCTTCCATATAGCAGCATATTCTCCCTGGCCTTGAGATAGCCCATCGTGAACGGTAGTATCCCTTTAAAAGGAACACAACAATTGAATGGAATTTGCAGTGAAGTTGAATGTCTAGTAAAATTTTAATTCACTCTCTTAAGGGCAAGTACTTGTATCCCTAACACATGTAATTCCCCACCACAATCCCTTCCAAATGAAATTATGTTTACCCCAATGGGATGACTAATTTTTTTTTTAAGATTTATTTATTTATTTATATAAGCACTGGGTACAGTCAGAAGCACGGGAGGGTGAGAGACTTCACCAGAGCCAGAGCTGGGAGCAAAACAGGCAGACTGATGAAATACACTGCTGAAGGGAGCAGCGGGTGCAGCAGGAGAGGTCTGTGTGCCATGTGGGACTCTCGCTGGTGGCTGGGGATCGTAACAGCGTTGCAGAGGCTGCGGGCAGCTTTGCAACCCAGCACTCAACAGCTGCGCCACTGGGGAGGCCTGGAATGACTAATTTTTGTTGCCACTTTTGGATTGACCTTAACTTCAGTTTTTTGTGCTAGGCAGTGTGCTAGGCCATGAGTACACTACATTCAGTAAGGTATTGGGGACCGATTAAACTTTGGTCCCTTACAAACAGTATTTATATACTGATTCCTTTGGAACTCATGTTCTTTATTCTTCTACAGTTTGTCAAGAACTATTTGAGTGCTGGTATTTTGGGCACTACTTAGTAGTGCTATGTTTTGGGCACTACGTAGGTGCTAT